GGAAATTAAGTGTAATTGCAAAGTTGTATCCAGGGAAAATAAACTAGTTTTATTTAAGAAAGGACCTGTATCGCTAAAGTTTCTTCGGAAAGAATTTTGACGAAAAATTAACAAACGACTAGAGACGTAACAATACTTTAAATGTAAGTTGACTATTTAGAAAATCGATTCATGTATAGGACTCTTTAAAACGTGGACAGACATTACTTTCTTAAAAAAAAAAAGAAACACCGCAACATTCTTAAAACGTTCGTTTGAAGTTAAGCACAGAGCTACACAATGGGCTATCTGTGCTCTGTCCACCACGGGTGTCGAAACCCGATTTCTAGCGTTGTAAGTCCGCAGACATACCGCTGTGCCACTGGGGGCTCTTAACACGTTATTGATCAGTTCTGTACTAGGAACTCTAGTCCTCTTTTTTTTCATATTTTTGCCAAGAATGAAAAAAAGTGATTCTTATAAATTAGCCCCTCATTGGTACAGCGGTATATCTGCGGGCTTACAGCTCTAGAAACTGGGTTTCGGTACCCGTAGTGGGCAGAGCACAGATAGCCCAGTGTGTAGCTTTGTGCTTAACTTCAAACACACTTATAAATTTATCGTAACATTTTACCGGATGTATGAGTATATCTTGTAAAACAATATAGTTATTAAATATATTTTTACGAAGCCACTGTGTCTGTTCTGAAATTTTTAGTACGCTCTGCAATTCCGTAGCGGTAAAATGTTTAGTTGTTGTAACAAAAGTATTTAGTGATATTCACGAAATCTTGCAGACTACTTAATTGGAATTAATTTCACGACCTGCAGGTTTTACTCTGTGACGTAACATAGTTCGCAGAGGGCAGTGGCAGTATTTACAGTTTCTTCTACCGCATAGTCTTTATTTGAATTTTGACCTTAACTTCTTAATAATTAAAGACTCGTTGTAGAAATCACCGTATTCTGTCGTAGTTTTTCGAGCAAAATGATCAAACTTTAAAACGACAATACTAGCGGAAATACGTGTCTCATACAAACAGACGTGACGCATTAGAAGTACACTTATCGTATCTTTACGAACTGTTAAACAGCTGTGACAAAAGTTTAATCATACAATGCCGTAAAGTATGAACTTGAATATAATTATTTCTCTTACGTTCATATTCTGTGGCTTGTATAATAACATTTAAGATCAGTATGTTGTTATCACTATTATTTATTTAAATTACATTTTCATTTGTTTGTTAAATATAAAGCCTAAACAGTGTTCTTTGGCATGTAGTGAGCATCAGGAGCGTGGGACAAGCCCTTTGGTTGATATGATTCGGCGTCACATTACACCCGCATTCCGATCCGAGAGACCCGGGTGGTTTGTCATCGAGTCTTCAATGGGGGACCGTCTCTCGTTATAATAACCTACTCACTAAAATCTACTGCACAAAGTTTTGTTTTAAATGTTTAATAATCTCATTATAAACATTGAGTTTTAAACATTTTTTTCTATTTTAAACGAATAACGTTTAACAGCGTATTTGTTAATTAGTTACATGTTAAAAGTATGTAAAAGTCCCGAGGCAGAAACAGAGGATAGAACACGCTTCAGGAAGTACTTCAATCAGAGAAGGGCGAAGTCACTACGAGGGAGGGAAACGCGCTTGACATGTGACTTAATAGAGAACATATGGGACTGGGGAGTATCGCCGCCAAGAGGAGTTTGTCATACAAACAAGTTTTTTCTCCCTAAAACACAAGTTACAGACATTAGGAGTATGAGCTACAGATTTCCAAGCTATAATGTTCGATGATGTCAGTAAACTTACCTTTTCTTTTTTTATGATTAACTCATATAACACTACTTAAAACATTTAGTTGTTTAATTAATCTCAAATGTAGGTACTCTACTTTTTCACGTGTTGTATCGTATTATAAAACTTACATGAATCAACAACAACAACCATATTTACGAAATTTTACTGAGATTCAAATACACAGTAAGAAAAAAAATCGAATAACTGTAATGAGTAGAAGAACAGAAAGAGCATTCAAATAATTAAAATTATATTATTAAAACATGAATTATGGAAAGACAATCGGAATCTATAAATTGTGAACACCGTAAAACAATGTAACGTGCGAACAAAAAAGGACATTCGAAAACGTTATGAGTTGAAGATATAGTATATCATTTTTTAAATTTACTATCGTCCAACAACAAACGTGTGATACTGCTGAACCGCAGCAACTAAAATTGTTTCAACGTACAATCGTACAAAAACAGGAGTCTCTTATCACTAACACGTACACACTAAAACTTTTCAATGTTCCATCTCATCGTACAATAGTTTGCCACTACGACTCGTGAACACTAAAACTTTTCAATGTACTACCGTACAACAAAAGTTCCGTATCTTAGCAACTTAAAGTTTTCAGTGTATCATCGTACAACAACAAAAGTTCAATATTGAATCTTTTCACGATTTAAATGATAGCACAATAACAGTTTTGCTTCTTTACAATATTCTTAAGATACGTTCATTAGCTAGTTCTTTTCTTTTATATTTGAGCTCGAAATTTTCAGTAATGTATTTCTGTAACCTCTCAATAAAATATCATTTTTAACTAAAAGAAATGATAGTAAATTTTTTATTGAAGTGTAATGTTTTAGATGTGTAGTGGATATACATCTTGATTGTACATCATTGGAGGAGCCGATGATGTAAAATTTTCAGTCTCTTTTTTTTTTTAAATGAAATACCATATCTCATCAAGTGCAAGAACTTTATTTTGTTATAAGCAAAACTGCTGTATAAAGACAAATTGAAAGACGAGGTCTGAGCTACAACTAATAAGTCGTGAAAGCAGGCGCACCTACCATACTCCCGACCCTAGATGTATTTTCAGCTCACGATAAGTACACGTATAACGTTTTTTACACATCACAGTGAAACTATATAGTATGCCTCATTTTTTATTTGAGATTAACTTTTTTCAACTTATCTCATGTTGCGTGAGTCATATTTTTATTTGTTCCTCTTCTGTATGATGAAAACCATCAAGGCAGGCTGGGGTGTAACGTCCCATACCCCTAGTCAGCTTATTACCGAGTCAAACAAGCCTAATTAGATGGGTATATTTATAGGGAAATACTTTCAACAGTTGCAGTTAAACGTTAAAAAATTAACAATAGCTACTTATTTATATTCAATACACAAAACTGAGATACATTTTGGGAATAATCGCTTTCTTTCCTTCTTTCGGCAAAGTTCTATAGAAAAACACGCTAACCAGCAGTCAGCAGTTGGTGATGCATTGCAGAGGAAGCACGTGCAGCATTGGCGTGGTGTTTTCCGTCACTTCCGGCGGGATGAATTCAGACATAAGCACTGTGTGGACTTCTAACGAGAGGGCGCCACTTGAGTAGACGTGTCTGAGCGGATAGAAACTGTTGTACTCTCTGCCGGTGCACTGTAAAGGAATATAGTAATTGTGATGGCGGTCGATGGGAAGCAGTTACGGCGGGGTTGCTTAGTCTATTTCCTTGTATGTTCTGTTGTCCTCGTTGCATTTATTCCAGGTGAGTGGATACCCACGTGCCAATCGTTTGTCTTGTTTTGTGTTTATGCCAGATGATTGCAATTTCACTTACAGGGAACACTAGAGAGAATTTGATAAGAACTCTATGGCAGTATGGATTGTACAGTAAGAAAATGCCAAATATTTGTCTTTTGAGCCAAAAAATAAAAGTAAAATCATATTTAAATAAACTATATTGTAATGACAATTGTTGTAATTGCCGGAGAACCGTAAATCAATGCAGTTTAACTGTTAGCAGGTTAGCGTGCTGGCATATATGCTGTGGAATGGCCATTGTGAAATATCCCACTAAAACATATGATTTATTTATCATAACTAAGATGAAAACAACGTTGTTTCTAGAGTTTAAAACATTGTATCAACTGCTTACAAATTTTTCTATTTATCACAAATGCCAATTTTAACAGTTTTTATAACAAACTTCAAATATATCAAAATCATTTTTGGTAGTTTTAAGTTTATGTCATTTTCCTAACACTTGAGGTCCATAGCGCAGGCGTAATGGCAGCCCCTGCGTGGGAGCGATCAACTTTTGGGTGGAACCAGAACTGTTTGCTCTACAAACATTGTCCGGAGGCGTCTTTTCTTGTTGGCACATCGAGGTCAGCCCTATCCAGTTACTTGTCACCATCAGAAATGCTTAGCAAGCACTTGTCAACCTGACTTGAACTGCTTGCTGGTAGATATATTTTCGGTGTAAATTTCAGTTTTCTGTTGTGAGTTCAGTGACGTAACAGCTCTTAATTCTGAGTTAAAAACACCCATGGCTTGCGTGTGAACAATATATCAACACTTGGTGATTTTAGTATTTTATTGGCTATTAACTAAACAGGTTCCCATATAAGAATAGAACAAAATATAGATGTGATATTTATATGAAACCGAATCATTTGTTTTAAGGGGAAAAAATGACATTTAATATATGTTGACCAGTTATTGCTTTTTTTTCTATGTATATATGGATAGGTAATATAATATATTTGTTAACTGGTGCTGTCTGTTAGGGTGCGAACAAATTTCACGTTAATTCAATAGTACAGGTATTTCCCCATCTAGAAGTAGACTTAATATCTGTTTATCGAAAGAGGTCTTCTTAATCTGTAACAAGGTGTTAATAATTGTATAATTGAGCAGATAACTTCTCTTACAGAGAAAGAAAAGGACGTAATACTAACAAGGCTCATTAACTAACATATCTTATTAGCTTAATGAGTATAACAGAATCATGCTGGTTTTTTTTAACTGTTTATACCAAAACTATTAATGTTACACAGAGACGTCGCCTAAAAGATTACGGGCTCGGGCCCGTAGGCGCGGGAATTTTAAACTTTTCTGTATGATATCATCATAGTTTCCTATTATCATTTCTCTTGACATAACTGGGGATTCGAGGCACGGGCCTCGTGTGTCAGCGCCTAGCGACGCCTCTGGTGTTACAGAATTATTACTGGGTTAAAATAGACTGTTATCAGAACTTCCTATTATGAAATTTAACAACTAAGAATTATTTAAAACTTGGAGATTCAAACCGAAGATTTAATACTTTAAGAATTGACTGGGTGAATGTGATTCGTAAATAATATAAATTTCTAGCTTATTTTATGTAAGTTACGTTTAACTTTAAAGCTTGTACGGGTAAAAATATTCAAATACATTTTTAATTTCAACATTTTCCATGTAACTAATGGTCTACAACCATAATGTTTTGCCCTAGTGAAAGCAAAATAATTATGTTTTGGGCCACTGTAGATTACTTGTAAAACTTGTGAAATAGTGAGTTACAAATAGTAAATAGTCTGTTTGGATATATTTATTATAAGCTATATATATATATATATATATATATATATATATTCTAATTTGTTCGTTGTACTAGCTATCTCAGC